GATGTATTGGTTGTGTTCGAACCCCCCGAATTTGTCGGATTAATAATGCTTTAATCATATTGAATTCTCTCATTTTTAAAGAGACGAAGATAAGATTTTTATCTGTGAATAGTTATTACAAATCTGATTAGTTTCTGTAATGACTAACAATCTTCAACCTAGCGTCGGAAAGCTACGCTTTATTTCTGAATAAGGTACCATCTCAAGTTAACATCACAACCTATCTCTTTCATAAACTGAAACCTTTTTTCTATATTAATCAAAGACCAGGGAAACTAGAATTTCTAACTGTGGAAAATCAGCTCCATGAGTATTTTTTGATGTTAGACAGTTTCCCATGTTGGGTGACAGGAAATTGCAATTATATGTTTGCACAGTAGTTTGATGAGCATATGAAAATAATGTTAAAGTGGACAGTTCGATGAAAAAGGCATAAAATCGTGAATAAATGTTCATTGGAAAATGATGCGTTCCAATGATAAAAGCTGCTCCAATCGCAACAACCCCCGCAAGCGTGTCCGTTTACCGTCACTCCATTGACTGGGAAGACAGTAGGAAGTGGGGATCTCGCTAAGCGTCCTGATATATCACTGATAGGAAGTCCGCAGGCACCAACGCCCATTCGGAAGTTGCATAAGGTAGAAAAAAACTTTTTCCATGTAAATGCGAAATTCACCAGTATTCCAGAGATCGCATATACGCAAGACCAAAAGGGCAAAGTTCAAGCCTCTTCTGGATATTCCGGATTATGAAGAGGACGAGAGGGATTTGTGCGCAGCATGCTTAAGAATGCAACCACATGCATCAAGCGATAGCGACGCTATATCTTGGATAAGTGTCCTACATGCGAAGATTGGTTGCATGTGCATTGCATCAACGATGTATGCCCCAGTGACGGCACATTATTAACAGATGATTAAAAAAATTGAAGCGTGCTAGTAATCACCTGCAGTATTTTTGTATGTGTTAACAATAGAATAGGCATATAACTTCATAAATGTTTGTATAAGGAAAGTTTATCATATTTTACTGGCAAAGCTGAATATAGAGTATTTATCGAATATGTATATAATGGATGAATACATCTAAGTAAAAGCATTCCTCAAGTTAAAGTCCATGCATGCCAAAATAGCATTTTCTCTGTATGCTTTCCCCTGGAACATCACGCATTCATAATGTCATTAGAAAAGGAGGAAGTTACAAACATTGAAATGTAAATCTCATGAAAAAAAACACTGACATGCAGGATCAAATTACCCGGCACTAAGATGCGTGTAGCAAGGAGATCATTCGGATTAGACGTCCTAAACAAACAAACAAAAAGAGAAAGAATATTCTGGAAAATCTACCAAAACGGACCAAAATAGTCGACGTGATTCGAAGAAGCATAAAAAAAAACAGCAAAGCAGAAAGGCATACCTGTTAGAGGCGGAAAAGTCGACAGGAAGGAATGAAATATGAAAAAGCAGAAAATCCGATTTTTATAGGCGTTAATTTGCAGGGGTATTGTGTAATTACACACGCAGCACATTTTTCACGCCTAAATCCGATTCGGTATACAATTGTTAATTATTGTGCATCCTTTGTGCTGAAGCTTGGACGAAGCATTATGATCTGAATTTTATTTTGTAAGTAGCTGAATAACACACCTATGTATCAACGACGATTTTGTGCTCATTTTTCTCCTTTTCTATTTAGAGATCTATAGAGTAGACTTTCTTTACTGCAGAAATTTGTTTGTCCTTGCTGTACCTTGAACTTCGTAAAGGAGACGTGGAAGCGGAAAGTGGTTCAATGCTCAACTTACTTATAACTTTCGATCTTTCCTTATATTACCACCTCTTAATCCTCACCTTTCCAAGTTCTGCCTTGTGCAATAGCTTATTTCCAGTACTACGAATTTATCAGAATCTTAGACTCCTCACATTTCTTTTTCGACGAAGTGGTATAAATGTTTGGCTGTTCTCTTTATGAACTTTCGCATTCAAGAAACTGGAAGTTTTGTTTTCAAGTTTGCCTCTATCAATTCTTGGTTTTATTGGTCCTTCTTTCTGTGTTGCTAAAACGAAAAGTATATCAGTAAGTGCTATCTCGAAAGGAATGACTATTGTTTGAAAAGAAGCTATAACCCAACTTGAACAATGCAGCTTAAAAGTTTGAGATTTTTCTATGAGGGCCTTTAGAATAACTACCTAAGGGTTTGGTGCAAGAACTTCGGCTAAGAAGCAATTGTCCTGTTTTGCCTCTCAAATTTGGAATAAGTTTGTATTTGTATACGTCAAACAATTCTCTGAAACAACTTTGATTGCACTACTAGAAACCATAATTTCGTATATGAAATAATTGACCTTTGATCCGGAAATGTTTTAGGTAGAGAAAGATATCAGCAAAGAGGGTCCCATGCGCTCTGCCTTGGTTTCCTGTGGCATTTCGATCCAGCTGTAAAATAGGAAGATATCCATGTTGCTACGTGTGGCATTGACGCCACTCTTGTCTTCAGCAGTTGAAGCGTCCACTCTTCTTGTTGTACCCAGGCCATCTGCCACTATCTTCCAATTTCGTGGGCGACGTCGTACACTTACTCCATCTCCATGGGTAGTTATTACGTTATACTTTTTTAAATTCCAATTTGGACAATTTTTCAAGAATTCTGATGTCTGATTGTTAATCCTCAATTTTATTAAATACGTTTTCGTGAATCTGGTAGCGACACGGTCCATACTCATTCAACAACCGTATCTGATCTTCGTAGATACTGGAAGATATAGATGACTGGAATCCATATAGAAATTTCTGAGAGTTCTGGTGTTCCTGCTCCTCCTTAACACACAAATTCGTTAGAACCTTACCTGCACCTGAATATGCATAATTGTCTTACTTGGAGATGAGGTTATATTATTGTTCTAAAATTAACGTTGCAGCTACCTCCTGTTGCTGAGAGAAGCCATCAAGATTATTTAGACGATGAAAATCGGTGAGTATCGTACGCCAGCATACATCTCGATCATTAAAGATTTCATAGTCACGTGTACTCTCAGAGCATTGCTTCATGAAGTTGTTATTGCTGAGAAGAGATCTGCTATTTGCCTGGCTGCTGCGAGTACCCAGGGATGTGAGGCCACAGTGGCTGAAATAGAACTACCAACCAGACGAGTAGGTAAGCTGTTTTAGTCGAATCCGTTTTTTTTTTTTCGAAATACGGAACGCGTTCATTTGGAGTGCAATCTTTTACACTATCGGAATCTAAGATATCTTCTGCTACGAAGTCATGTGGATATTCTTAACAATTAGCCGTAGTTGCTAGACGTATCTAATTACGTTTCCTAGAGTTTCTAATTGTATAATCCTGGGAAGGCTAATATCAAGCAGTACACTGATTTTTGTGATTGTCATTTGCTCGCAGGTTTCAAAGTTTTAAAAATATGGGAATTTACTTTATGCAGTCATTTATGTAAGTTGCAGACCGTAGTTGACA